CAGGGGTGTCTTTCCCAAGGGGGGTCTTTCAGGGGAGTCTTTCCCAAGGAGCAAAGAGGCAGCTCAGAGTGGAATCTTTGACATAAGAGACCCACAATGAATCCTCCCTAACTTTTCACAGGGTATATATATTACTGTAATAGTTACGGTAATAACTATAACAAAGTGGTGCTCAATGATACGAAAAGCAGACCCTGCACCTGCAGGAATACACTAGGAAGAAGAATTACCGCAATAGTTATACAGATTTATGCTTTAGTCTGGTCTGATTCCTGTCTATTGGCATGAAACAATAAAAAACTGCTTTAGAGTAACTTCTTTGTGTCGTTTTTGTGTGAGAAAGAAAATCTCCATGCCACTCTTGCCATCCGAGCCACTGTAACCCTGAACATCCCTGACCTGACAGTGAATCTCAGACAGAATAACAGAATAACGCAGTTGGAAGAAACCTTGGAGGTCTTCTAGTACAATCTTCTACTCAGGCAAGAAACTCTATATCACTTCAGACCAATCTCTTAAAACAATCTCTTCTTAAAAGCCTCCAGTGTTGGAGCACCCACAACTTCTGGAGGCAAGTTGTTCCACTGTTTAATTGTTCTGTCAGGAAATTTCTCCTTAGTTCTAAGTTGGTTCAATAGTCCTAGGTTGGATAATAAAACAAAAGTTTGCTTAAGCCTTTCTGCTGATTTTGACATCTAGGCTGGAACACGACTAAGTGCCTCTTTTGCTAAGAAATTGGCAAATACTGACAATTCAATTAAAACTAAGGAAAATCCCCTCAAGATGTTAAAATCTTTTATACACACAATAGATTTCCCCCAATTTTAAACCCATCACTCAAAGTCAACAGCTGGACTCACAAAGGGCAAGGATTTCAGAACTCCACAGAATGAGAAACCACATTTCCTCCCTAATGGACACAGGACACTCTCTGGGGTAAACTGTGGTCATGCATATCCAAAAAAAAAAAAAAAAAGACGGACTCTTCTATATATGTAGCTGTCTTTTTCTTTTAACTCATGGCTACCTTTGATTGCTAAGCTGTTTTGCTGTTAAATAAATTCTGCTTCTGCTTCAAGTAGTTGTCCTGTGCCCAGCTCAGAACAAACCAGAATTTCTTCTAACACGTGGTTCCTTGCTCCTCACACCCAGGGATCCTTTAGTAGTGCTTTCCCTCTTATTCCATCTCCAGATCCTGCACACAGGGAATTTAGAATATATTCATACGCACAGGGAAGGTAGCCTGAAATAATATGCTTCATATCCTCAAATGCGTAGCCCTAATTAACCAATTGATGCTGCCTTGTTTATTTGGTCTTTGACTTGTTATCCCACCTTTCAGCTATGAGCATCACCTAAATCCCAGGTGTTTTTGTCTTTTTTAAATGGGCCCACTAGCCTATATAGTATTCCTGTCTTGATGTATGTGACTGAATTATAACAGAAAGGATATATCTTTTGTCCTTCTGTAATCTTGCCAGGCAGGCAATTTTCTTCCCAATGACAGCTCTTCCTTTCCACTACCCTCACTTTTTGTCCTTAGGGGACTTTATTGCTCTCACACTGCTCCCCATAGCCAAGCCCCTTTCTCAAACTCCAGGTCTTTGACAGCATTATCTGGCAGCTACACAAATATGACCACTAGATGGAAGACATGAGTCATAAAAACTTTCTTTGCTACCACCTAGTGGTCAATAATCACATGGCAGACAAGTCAACCCACAGTTTCAAAGAACTATGAAAAAGTTCAACTGACTGATGATACAATGAGAATGAAAAAAGAAATTAACATTCCAACACAAAGATAGCCAAAGAGTTGTGCATGATGCCAACTGGAGAGAATTTCCACATGGTGGTTAAGGTGGACAGAGCAGGAACGGTAACCAAGGAAATTACCAATGATGGCTCTTACAATATAACGTTGCACATTAACGCTACAGGAGTGGAAGTGCAGCATAGACTCATTACAAGTGGATCCTGCTCTGGGGAGCAGCAGCACTTTCTGCTGCCTCTGGGACAGGAAGGTAAGCATAGTTTAAACTTGGATAACATACCCACAAAGAAAGCACTAAACCTGGCAACTGACTTCCCTCTCTGTAACTTGAGGAGGTCATCAGCCTCACTTTTGTAGATTGCACGTTCTGGTCCTTGGCCTCCAAACTGTGAAGCCAAAGAAGTATGTGGTTTTTCTGAGCACGCTGTCGCCATTGCCTGCTTTTTCCTTGGGACTGTAACACGATCAGTTGGGAAATCCAAAACTGCCTCTGACTCCATAGTTGGCTCATCCAACAAATGTTCTTGAGGTGGCACACTGAAGTCTATCTCTTGCCAGTCTGGAGCTAGGTGGACAGTGCAATGCTCCCTTGGTTCTGGAACTGAGAAACTTCTGTATGTCTCCATCCAGTCTGGGGCTGGTAGATTGGGGCGCTTCTTCGACTCTGGAAACAGGTGGCTAGCATCTGCTTGAAGTAAAGACCACCAAGGTGACTGGGGTCCAAACTTCTCTAGACACCGCGGAGGTAAGATTCCACAGGTCCTGGCAACTTCTGTGCGTGGCAAGACTCTGAGGTTTGTTTCTGCATCGGGCTGAAGAGAGCACTTCAATTCCTTGTCAATATTCACTGCAGTTAGCCAAGTGGTGTCAAGATTCCCTGGGTGAAATGCAGGTATGACTTTGGGTGTGGTTTCAAGCCTACTGGTGAGCAAGTTCCTCTGAGGCAGGAGCTCAGTTCCTTTTGCAAAGGACTGCTTCTGGGCCGCTTCCAGTTGTTGATGCAGCATACACGTATACTCTGATTCACTTTCTGGATGGAAAGCAGGTTTACTGAGGAGCGAGTTTTGGTCGCTTGGTAGGGATTCAGACCACAAGGGCTCCTGGTGGATTGAGTTAGGCACTGCTTTCTTCTCTTTGTATCTTCTTACTTCTTTGTTCTGCCGTAGGGAGCCTTTGGGAATAGGGTAATGTTCTTGGATGCTCGTATTTGAGGTAGAAAGTGGGATCCAGGAAAGTGACTCATCTCCAAGAGAAAGAGCAGGTTTGAAGGCCATTGCCTCCATCTCTTGGTGGAGCTGACAACGATACTCAGACTCGGTCTCTGGATGGCTGACAGGCCTTTTGGTTTCCTGGGTCAATTCATGTTTTGTTTGGAGGTTCCTCCTCACATCAAGCTCCCGACACACTGGTTCAGTCCATGTTAGGAGAGAGTTCTTTCTCTTCTCAGCCTCTGAGGAGAGAGGAGTTTGATGAAGTAACTCAGACCGCGGCGAGAGAGAACCTTTGTGGACTGTGTCCATCTCTTGATAAAATGGTCCCATATAATCTGATCCACGTTCTGAATGGAAAGCATAATTTGGTTTAATTTCTGAATGATAAGAAGATACAACGACAGTCGGCACTGGGGATGCTTTGGACCTAGCTTCTGCTCCAGGAGGTGGTGTCTGAGTTGTTCTAGTCCACATCTCTAATTGAGGACTCTCTTTCTTTGAAAATAAGTCCTGGTAAATAGTTTCTGTTTGAATACATTTATCTTTTGGATTGGGAATTTGTTTACGGATTAATTTCTTCGGGGTTCGGGATGTATATTGCTGTCCCTGTTCAGTCATTAACTGAGAAGTCATCTTGGATGTTTGAGTCCATGCATCCTTTAAGTATCGGGGGATTGGTGGGACGGAGTCGTTCCACACTGGGATGAAAGGCATATATTTATTCTCCATTTCAGATTTCTCTGCAGTTGATCCAGATCGGAGTCTCTGGAATATCTCATCTCTTTGTGAATTCAGGTTCTGCTTCATTGCGATAAGCATACGACTAGCTGTCATTCTAACCTGGCCAGGTTGGATAGAGTATTTTCTATGAGAGTCCATAACAGTTTGAGGAGATATGGTTCGGCCTGCTGGCTTTCCTTGTTGTGGAGGGTTGGTTTCTCTTTGGGGTGAAGCATTTTGGCTTAACAGGGTCCCTCGTCTTGAGGAAGTACCCTGAGAGAACTCACTTCCTCGTCGGGGTGAGGCAGTTGGTGGGACCTCCATCCCTTTGTATGGTGAGGCACTCCTGGTGGTATTGTTTCCTTTCTGAGGAGGAATCTTCTGTGGTGGGTCATATGGTTGCTGAAATGAAGAAATCTGGGAGACCTCACTCTCTCTCCGTGAAGAAGGGCTTAAAGAAGTGGGGATCGATCCTCTTGGAGAAGACAGCCTTTGGGCAGCCTCACTACCCTTCTGAATATTAGCAGTACCCTGTGAGGCTTCACTCCCTCTCCGTGAGGAGGAACCTGTGGGATAAGATCTTCGGGGAGCTTCATTTACCCTTCCTCTTTGAGGATAAACGTTCTGGGGAAGTATGCCCTGGGAAGCTTCACTTCCTCTGTGGGGAGAGGTGCTCCGGTTGATGTCATTTCCTCTCTGGGGTGAAGCAGCTTTAGCCATCTCGCTTCTTGGCGGAGAGAGAGATGCCACTGGAGGACTGCTTCTTCGATGGGACTGTGGACTAAGGATCCATTCCCGCTGAGGTGAAACTGTCCTTGGAAGTTCATTATTATGGTGGGAATATGGGCTTTGATATGGATCATAAGCTACTTTGACTGGAATAACACGAGACATCTCACTTGCCAGCTAGCCCAGTCTGATTGGTGATCTTTTGTCATTTGATACTATACGTTGATCAATTTTCCTTGGATTCTCCTTCAATTTTACATTAACTTCCATCCAACAGTGGGCCATTTCTGCCTTTCATAAACCACTTGGCTCTTCTAATGTGGCCTCTTTATTTCATCAGTTCTACGCTAGCCTGGCTAGATCATAAAGCAATGATGTCATTCCCTCAGACTATGACATCAACTACTCCACACCCACTGGAAACTTTCTAAGAGAACACACCATTCTGCCACTTCTAATTTTCAATGTTTTACTTTGCTCATTTCTCCATTACATACCCATTCATATTTTTAAAATACCCAAAGCATCTTATAAATTGTAAGAGTTTAGAAATAAGATGACATTACCAAGCAAGGTCCCACATCTGTGATTAGGCCTTCTCTGAAGCTGTCCTCACACTGCAGCACATATTGCCTCCTAAAATACGGAATGCCCCAAAACTCATAAATTACTTCAGATCTGGCTATTTCATGAAGTGTTTTAGCCTAGTGGTGTGCAAACTATCTTTTAGATAGAGTGTTGTATGTATGTACTTTTTTATTTTGTAAATTGCCTCAAGTTCATTAGAAATTGGCAGTATATAATTTTGTTTAGATGGTAAAATGTATAATAAAAAATCCTAAAGCACAAAAAGCACAAAAGGGCACCATACACAAATGGCTTGTTTAGTGACTATTTGTACCACAACTGTTAACAATTACAAAAGTGATGAAAAGTAACTTTGTGACCTATCTTTGCATGTGTGACCTTTGCAATTCTATAAAACAAAGGAAAACTGAAATAAGATCATATGCAGTCACAATTTCTCTTAACGACTCCTTTGCTTAATGACCAAGTTGCTAGTCCCAAGTGTGGTGGCTAAGCGAGGACTAACTGCTGTATGATTTATTCTTGGCCACTGTGTACATTAATGTTTGGTTATTGTAATTGCTTTATTTTTTGTTCAGAATCATTTGTTGAGATGGATGGCCATATAAACTGAATGTAAGAATGAACAAATTAAGGAAGAACAGAGTAACAGGGACCTTGGAGGTCTTCTTAACAGCAGATATTGACATTTGTAGAGACCAGCAAACAGGTGCCTAACAACTTTAACTTTTAGCTGAAGAGCGCATGGAATAAAAATCAATCTCTTACATGGTTGGATCCACATATCTACTGTAAATTGCACCACCTAGATAATCTTGGCTGATCTTAAGATAAGCAGAACCTGGTTAGGATAAAGCTTGGATGGGGAATCAGGATGCCAGAGACCTGTAGACCAGACTAAGATGATGGACAACCAACCAGAGAGAACGTAGCAGTGAATCTCTTTACTAACTGTTGCAAGAAAATGACCCCAGGAGTCAGGATTAATTTATGAGGGTCTTTACTTAAAATCCACTTTCTAGCTATTCTTAGAAGTTTGACTCCCCCGCAAAAGCTTTCTGAAATTGAAAACAACTTTAAAAAAGTTGAAAGCAAGCTCCACTAGCTGCTAGTTTTCTTCCCAGTTCAATACAAAGTGCTGACGATTTTTCATATCTTACATAGCATGGACCCGTTATTTGAGGAACCGTCTCTTACTGGTTACATCTACCCATCTGGCAGAAAGGGCATGTTATAGGTTCTGTCTACTTATCTGATGGGACCAAGGAGTTGGCCCTTCTTTGGTGTGGCACTTACCCTTTGAAGCAACGTTCCTCCCCAAGGTGAGAGTGGCCCTGATGACAGTGAGCTGCCAGAAGGTCCTCATAATCTGGTTTTGACATTGGCCCTGGGATCCCATGAAGATACCGAGCCCACAAAATGGCTGTGTGTAAGATTGTGATTGCATTCTCCCATATGTTCCGTTTATCATTTTTGTTTTCAACAGTTTTGCTGTAATAGTGTCAAGTTTTCTGCTATGCTGTTTTACTTATGTGATCATAGAACATAGAATAATAAGAGTTGGAAGGGACCTTAGAGGTCTTCTAGTCCAACCCTCTGCTGAAGCAGGATATGCTATATTATTTCAGATGAATGGTTGTCTGCCTTCTTTTTGAAAGACTCCAGTGATGAAGCACCCACAATTTCTGAACGCAAGCTGTTCTATTGGTTGAATGCTCTTACCATTAGGAAATTTCTCCTTAGTTCTAGGTTGCTTCTCTCCTTGGTTAGTTTCCATCCATTGTTTCTTGTCTTACGTTTTGGTGCTTTGGAAAATAGTTTGACTCCCCTCATCTTTGTAGGAGCGTCTCAAATATTGGAAAACGGCTATCATGTCTCGCTTAGTCCTTCTTTTCATTAGACTAGACATACCCAATTCTTGTAATATTCTTCATTCTTTTAGCCTCCAAGCCCCCAATCATTCTTATTGCTCTTCTCTGCACTCTTTCCAGAGTCTCAACATCTGTTTTATATTGTGCTGACCAGAACTGGATGCAGTTTTCCAAGTGTGGTCTTACCAAGGCTTTGTAAAGTGGTACTAGAACTTCATCCGCTCTTGATTCTATTCCTCTTATTAAACCAACCTACTCATGAGATGGGAAGCTTTATAAATTCAACAAATATTTATAACCATCCTGGAAGAAATCCATTCAGGAAAGTTAGCACAGGGGTGGCATTCCAACCAAGGGAGACCCTTCCCAAATGCCAAGGATTTGGGCATGCCAAGCCAACCTCTGGATGTTTGTTTAGGAATCCTACCTCCCTGCATTGGCCCCATCAAGAAAATTCAGGGCAGTTTCTCTTCAGCTGGCACTTTGATAGATTTATAAAAGGCGCTTAAACCATCTACTAGGAATGTTAATTGCACCAAAGGGGATTAAAGAGTCAATGGAGCTTCAGTTCAAATCCCCACTGGACCAGGGGGCTCATTATATTATTTTTCCACAGCATCAGGCAAGCATGTAAATTTATATCATCATCATCATCATCATCTGAGACCTGTTCATTTTGCCCAGCACCGGCCTACCTCACAGTGTCGTTATGAGGATACCGTGAAGAGTTACCTCGTATATCCTGCTTCGGGCTCCTTCTAAGGCTGATGGATGGAGGATTAACTCAGTTAATCATACATAAAATGAAACAGGCTAAAAACCTCACAGCAAGCCGGGCATTCCCGCCTCCATGGCCCTGCGTGCCTAAAGCTTAGCACAAAGGGGAGGTGACACACGCTTGCAGCCACCAAGCGCCCGTCCAATTTTCACGGCGCAGAACGTCTACTTTCTCTCCCCCACCCCCGAGATCCCTCGCACGCGGCGACAGGCTGGGTACTTTACACATGCTCAGACGCTCCATCTGCCTTCCAGGCAATGGAGCCCCCTCCCCTTTGTCTGCTCTCCTCCTTTGAGAGGAGGGGGCTGCCCAGCACGTGCAATTAACGCCCTCCTTCGCCGCCGCCTGCGCCGACTTTCTGCCGCGCCCACCCTCCTCCCCAGCCGAAACAACGGAGGCTCGGCGGAGGCGGCCCCTTTAAGAGCGGCGGGGCCGCCCTCTGGCGGTCTGCTGCGGCGGTGCAGGTGCAGGTGCAGGATCCCGCTCCTCCAGGTGCGGCCGCTCCGTCTGCTCCGTCCACATCATGGAGCGCGATCGGGGCCCGCGGGCCTCGGCGGTAGATCTGGGCTTCGGGGCGCTCAGCACCGCGCAACTCCGCGCCCTCATGCGGGACGAAACCTGGCTCGAGCGCATCGTCAAGCTGAGCAGGAAGGTAAAAGCCGCGGCTCCCGGGTTGGAAGCCCAGGAGGAGGGAGGATCGGGCCCTCCGGAGGGGCAAAAGAGAGAGATGGGAGGGTGGCATCCTGCTTTCCAGCGGGGTCTTCTACTGCACGCACCCGCGCCTTGCGTTACTCCGACCCCAGCAGCCATCCCTCTCCATCCAAATACAAAGACCGCCCCCGCCCCCTTGGAAAATAATCCGAGCATCTAAAGGGCCGCCGAAACTGCCCGTGGCATCCCTGGGGCTGTGCCCCCCCCCCCGACCCCTTTTGCAGCAAAGGCAGCTCTGGTTGCCAGGGGGCTGGGAGTCTGGCACGGGAGGTGGGGGGTGGGCTAGTGCCAGTCCAGCCAGGCCTGTGCTCGGTGCCAGAAACAATGCCCAGACCTTCGGCCTTTGCACGGAAGCTGCTGGCCCAAATACACAAGACCCAAAGATAATAGGTGGGCCCCAGGCGGGGAGGCCCTCTCGCCCCAACTGTTGGATATGCCCTTGGAAGATCTACCCCCTTCTAATGCCATTCTGCTAGCTCCAGGGACTACCTGTCCCGCCTCTAGAAGCTGCCCCTGGGATCCGGTTTGAACCGAGGTGTTCTGCTACTCTGGTTCCACCTCTCCACCCCCCAGAGATGCTATAGGCCCCTTTGTGGACTGTTGTCAGATTTTGGTCTTCTCCACCCACCTGTCACTCAGCCCCCCACCCTCCTTTCCCTGAAAAGCAGTATCCCCCCCCCCCCCAAAAAAAAAACACTCTTTAAAATACACCCCGTTTATTATGCCAGAAGAAATGCCGAGAAGAAGCCTCCATTTGTTTGGGGTCCTGGAGATGGGAGTCATCCAGGGAGGGTGTGGGTGTGTTGGCTTGGTGGGGGGTGGGGGTGTGTGGAGATGCTCCCAAGGCCTCAGTGCTTTTGTCTTGGCAGGATAGACCCATCCTGGACCAGACACTCCCTTCCCTCTTTTTCTCTGGTGAAAATCAGCCACAATGGTGACCATGGACCCCTGTTTTGTTTCTCTGTGCTGAAAAGAAAGGGATTTCTTTTCCGAGACCCAGCAAAGCCTCATTGACTCAGCCATGGAAACACGGGCGGGGGTGGAGGGGTGTTGACTGTGTCTAGCCAGGCAGGCAACATGTCTTGTGCTGGGTAACACAGAAAGGTTTGCCGAATTAAGTGCCACAGCATGTCAGGCATTTTCATCATAAATGGCGTATGATTTTTGCCTTTCGACAGGCGTGGAAACAAAGCAAAACCTCCCCTCTTCTTTCCCTTATTTATTTGGCATCCAGCTAACTTCCTCCTTGCTCCCCCCCCCCAATTGCAGGAATTCCCCACCCCTTTTTGTGCCCCCTCCCAGACCTTCATTGGAATCTGCTCCTAGTCTCACAGTTGCAACGTCACACATGTTGTCATCCATCCTCACAAGGAGACGTTGAGGCTGTTGATTTTGGAAAGGCACCTTCTCTGCCTCCTTTCCAACAATGGCCAGAAAAACAGCCTCACTTTTGCCATATCTTTTGTCAATTCAGATGAGCTGAGTACTCCGAGCTTCCTGGCCTTGGTGTACTCTCAAGGCAATTGCCGGTCGCCTTTATCCGGTTATCCTTAACCGGGTCAATTAGAAGACTTAGCGGCCATTCTCAATCATTGTGCTAATTGTGGTTAATTTTAAACTTGGTTGGTCTTTTGGTTGGTCTTAGTATGTTGTGTGAACTCAGCCTGTTTGGAGAGTTATGGTTCAGCCTCCTATTCAAAACAGAGTGGGTTAATTCAAGACAGTGTATTGTGTGAACAGGAGTATTGAGTTGCTAGATCTCACAAGAAGCCCAGTGCCCTCTGAAAAATTGCACATCAAGATTAGTCCTTTCCCCATAGTTTATCATCCCCAGTGGCCCTCATAATTCTAACTAAGATGGCCCAATAAATACATTTGTCTTCCCCAAATACGAGCTCAAGTGAAGTACAAGATAAACCACAATATTATATAGCATATTTATTAGAAGGGTATCCCAAAATGTTATCTTTTAAGTTTAGGGCAATTTTTCATAGTTTCAAGACTCCCATAGAGTACTTACAGTTTGGTTTACCAAGTCAGTAAATAGTCAGTAAATATTAACCTTTGCTTGAAGAGATGTACTCCCCTAAAATATCTAATGCATAATTAAGGGGGGGTGTCTACATGTTCCCCAAAGCCCCTGAAAGCAGGACAAGAAGCAATGGATGGAAACTAATCACGGAGAGAAGCAAGCTAGAGCTAAGGAGAATTTTCCTGACAGTTAGAACAATTAATGAGAAGAACAACTTGCCTCCAGAAGTTGAGGGTGCTCCAACACTGGAGGTTTTTAAGAAGAAATTGGACAACCATTTGTCTGAAATGGTATAAAGTTTCCTGCTTGAGCAGAGGGGTTAGACTAGAAGACCTCCAAGGTCCCTTCCAATTCTATTATTCTGTTTTTATTCTGCTTTGCTCAGAGGTTTAATAAGGGCAGTAGCTCTAGAAGAAAAACATTTTGGCAGCTTCTCAGTGGTTCTATGCTTGCTGTAGCCAGAAACAGTAAACCACATTCAGTGATTGAATGCCAATTGGTGACAGACAATAGCTGGCCATGCTCCTGAGATACTTTCCTTCACGAAGCGGGTTTGGAGTTAGCTAGTATGAAGGAACAAACACAGACCGGAGTAACTTCTCAAGGGCCCATGTTGTTAGGGGAGGCCTAAAGAGCATCTGGCAGTGGGAAGATTCTGCACTAGTTGTGACAGCTAAGGACTGACAATACTTATTTTTCAATCAGCTGATTAATGGGGAAAAGATAACGCTAAAAAATACCATTTTGCAACCAGTACATTGTTTTGTGATAAAAAGGCATGCACAACTTTTTTAAAAAACTGGGCCCTGTCAAAGAATATGAACATGACTAGATCTATAAATTAATGTGTACATTCAGTGGGCTTATACAATTGTCAAAAGTGTTGTGTTTGAAAAATTCTAAAAACTTTAATAATCGGGAACATCTGGCTCCAACCTCAAACATTAATGTTTGAATTTAGCAAGAAAAAAATGACTTCACTTCATATCTTTAATATGGAGAATTAGTTGAACTCCCAGAATGAAAGTGTGATATAAGTCCCACTGATTGCAATCACACAGCACACTTAACACTTATTTTCTGGATTTGCACAATGCATTAAGTCTCACAGAAAATCCCTAACCAAGATCAAAATTAAATCAAGTTTGCAAGTTATGCCCATGCAGCCACCAGGATTTTAAATGACTCTCTTTAGCAAGTTGTATGAGTGGTTCTCTCATCTAACCCTTTTTAGGATTATTTTTTTTTCTACTCATAGGTACAACATCCTTCTAAGATAGGTAAGAATTTTAACTCCCGACTGTAAAAGACAGAAAGTTGGTCTCTCACCTAAAGTAGCCATTTCATGGAGAATAAAATCCATGACTTCTGAGCACAACATTTTTTAGGCCTGCTTTATATTGGTGGCAGCAATAGCAGCTGCTGAATAATTAGACTTATTTTAGGCATCCATTCAGACCAGCTTGATAGTCCATTCACATTATTTTTTAAAAAAACTTGGTTTCCAAGTTAATCCACTGTCTGGTTTGAGCAACAAACCATTAACTAACCACAGAATTCATTGGATTATCAAACTTTGTATGCTGCATCCAGGTGGTCTTTCTATGACCTGCTTCAGCATATTGTATGAACACAGCTATGTCAATGACCTTCCTATGGTATATATTCTCCACAATATATCGCTCCAAGGCTCACTCACTCTGGGTGCTTCCAAGCTGCTTCTTTTACTGCTTTGTACTGAATCAGCCCAAATCACTTTAGTAACAAAAATGTAATTTGAATCTTCAGATTGTATTGTTAAATACTGTATCTGTACAGCGTTGGCTCAAATATATTTTGAATCTCAAATGATGGTGGTGGTGCAGGAAGTGGTGGGGATGCTGGCAAAACCATCACTAGGCATAGTGCATAAATGTATACCTTGATAAACAGACAACCCTGACAAGAGTGCAGACAGCAAAGCAAAGTTTAGCAAAAAAAAAAAAAGTAACTCAAATGAGGATGATAGGCTGCCAGATACAGAACGAAGCCAAGATCTAGAGGTCTTTTTTTAAAAACCATTTTTTTAAATTTTACAACAAATCCATCTTTCAGTTAAACAATGTGTCGACTGGGCACCTTGTGTAAATATTTATAATTAATATACATCTAAAGATCTGTAGAACAGCAACTTGGGGGAAAACATTGGGAAAAATAGCAAAAGTATCAAACTAGATTGCAAGGGGATGGGTGTTTTCTTTTTTTTTCTTTTTTTTTTTGCCAAACATGCTCATTGTTTTTAGCAGGAAAAATGGCTTTCCTGTTTGGGTGAGAAGTCCATATATTCTTCTACATGCATTTCTGGGGAAATCCTGCCATGTATGCCCACAGGATAGCCATGCAGAACCCAAAGAAACTCTTGACAAAGTGAACAGACCTTTCAGCCTGGCTGAGACTCTCATTAAATATGTGTCTTTTCAGTTCCAGAACCTGCAGCTGGAGCGGGAGGTGCACCTAGCTTCCAACTATAACCTCGCCAAGCAAAATTTGGGCTTGCAGCCTCGGCTAGAGAATGGCAAAGCTTCCCTCGCTATCAAATACCAGGAGTTGCAGGAGCTACGGGAAACCTGTCATGACAAACAGCAGCGCTTGGGTGAGAAATAGTTGGTGTTTTCCTTTCTCCCCCCCACCCCCCCTGCTATCCCACCTTCTCCAAGAGTAGAGGCAAAGGTAGCACCACTGGGCTGCCTTAATCTAGATGGGTGTTCCTCAGCATTGATTGCTGGTTAGGGAATTCTGGGAGTTGAAGTTTGTCCATCTTAAAGTGGCCAAAGTTGAGAGACTCTGTTCTAGATGATCATCAAAGGGCAGTACCTTTGTTAGTGATCTGGACTTTTGCAGAGAGCATCTTTTCCAGAGAGCATCTGAGAGCATCTTTAAGCAGAAGGGGCTTCATTCACAACGGGTCTGTGACAATTTGCCACGGCCAACTCACCATGGCCATCTCACTCAGGACAAGAGTTACACTACTATCAAAGCAATGGTGGAATAGAATCATTTTTTAAAAGGATGCAAACGGTGGGAGGGAATGAAATGTGAATGGCAAAAATCAAAATATTTTTATTTTAAATAATTACATAGATTTGTTAAATTGTCCCATAGCAAGTTGTCCCGTAGCGAGTTGGTCGCTACAACTTGTCCAGCAAGTTGTCCCATTCTGTTCATGGCAGCCTGCCTCCCTTTAAACTAAGCTTACCTTGCAAAAGGTAGGATTCCAGAGTAGATTGATAACACAGGAAGTCCTCGACTTACAACAGCTCATTTAGTGACCATTCAAAGTTACAACGGCACTGAAAAGTGTGACTTATGAACATTTTCCCAGTTATGACCTTTGCAGCCATCCCCATGATCAGGTGATCAAAATTCAGACACTTGGCAACTGACTCATATTTATGACAGTTGCAGGGTCCTGAGGTCCTGTGATCATCTTTTGTGACCTTCTGACAAGCAAAACCAAAAGGGAAGCCAGATTCACTTAACAAGCAAGCTACTAACTTATCAACTGCAGTGATTCACTTACCAACGGAGGCAAGAAATGTCATAAAATGAGACAAAGTTCGCTTGAGAAATGTCCCACTTAACAACATAAATTTTGGGCTCAATTGTGGTCGTACGTCGATAACTACCTATAGTTAGTTGTAAAGAAATGTTGTCTTATTCATAATGGGTGGGCCTAGTTTATGATCACCGATGATTTTTATCAAATTTCAGTTTACTGAAAACATGTAGATCCCCTTTCCTTACTTCCTTTTACCGCCTGCTTCCTGGGTAAAACTGGAAGGATGAATAGATGGAGAAACACGCAGAGTGAGAGCTCAACAACTTTATGCAGAAGGTGTTTCTTTACTCTGAAATAATATTTTTCCATTTTAGCAACTTTAAACTGTGCGGACTTCAACTCCCAAAATTCCCCAGCCAGATATGCTGGCTGGGAAATTCTAGGAATTGAAGTCTACGCGGCTTAAACGTTAATGAGGCTGAGAAACGCTACGTTAGACAGTGGGATATTTCTTCCACTGTAATGCAATAGGTGAAGGAGAGATATGAAAGAGAAAAGAAGGACTAGGGCAGGGGTGGGATTCCACCACTGTTACTACCGATTCGGTGGTTACGTTTTGCTCAGCGTTTGAAAAGCCTCTTTTTCCCTGCTTTTTCAACCTCAGCTGTGCCGCGCAAAGCAGCTGAGGTTGAAAAAGCAGGAAATAAAGGACAGGTAAGAGCCCAGGCGGGCGGGTGGGCCAAACAGCAGCAAACACAGAACCGGTTTGGTGTCTGCTGCTCTTCAGTTCTATAGATCCGGGTAGAACCAGTACCACCCCACCTCTGGACTAGGGGTGACATGATAGCAGTCTTCCAATAGCTCAGGGGCTGCCACAAAGAAGAGGGAGTCAAGCTATTCTCCAAAGCACCTGAGGGCAGGACAAGAAGCAATGGGTGGGAACTAATCCAGGAGAGAAGCAACCTAGAACTAATTTCTGGACAGTTAATCAGTGGAACAACTTGCCTCCAGAGATTGTGAATGCTGCAACACTGGAAGTTTTTAAGAAGAGACTGGACAACCATTTGTCTGAAATGGTATAGGGACTCCTCATGTCTAAACGGGGTAGGACTAGAAGACCTCCAAGGTCCCTTCCAACTCCGTTCTATATTCTATGTAATTTTAGTGAGCTGAGACAATGTGTTTCGATTACAGATTTCAGCTTGAGTACAGTATAGGTAATCCTCGACTTATAACCATTCCTTTAATGTCTATTTGAAGTACAACATACTGAAAAACAAAGTGACTTGAGGCCAGTTTTCACACTTAACAACGATTGCTGCATCCCCATGATCACACGATCAAAATTTGGGCACTTGAAAAGTGGCATGTATTTATGATCATTGCACTCTCCTGGGCTCATGTGGTCACCATTGTTAAGCTTCTCTGTTGGCTTCCCACAAGCAATTGATGGAGGAAGCCAGATTTCCTTAACAACTGCATGATTCACTTAACAACCGTGGCAAAAAAAAGTCATAAAATGGGGCAGAATTCACTTAACAACTGTCTTGCTCAGCAATGGAAATTTTGGGCTGAATTGCAGTCATAAATTGAGGACTATCTGTACATGATATTTGGGGAGACACATCTTCGGGATCACATAACTTTATAAAGTCTAAACCAGGGGTGTCAAACTCAAGGCCCACGGGCCAGTTCTTGCCCACGGGGTGCTTAAATCTGGCCCATGGGGCCAGCCTGGAAGTAGCAAAGGACCAACCCACAGTGCCTCTGGCAGCCAAAACCGAGTGCGGGGGGTCGTACATGGCCCCCTCCCGCACCCTGTTTTTGGCCTGGACAGCCTCCTGCAGCCCTCTACTGGCCAAAACTCAAAATGGGGGTGTGTGCCTCATTTTGGCTGGCAGAGTGTTGCAGGAGGCTATCCAAACCGAAAACAGAGTGCATGAGGGCTGTGTGTGGCCCCTCCGTGCCCCCTTTTGGCCGGCAGAGTGCTGCAGGAAGCTATCTAGACCGAAAACAGTGCATGGGGGCTGTGTGTGGCCCCTCCATGCCCCCTCTTGGCCAGCAGAGTGCTGCAGGAGGCTATCCAGACTGAAAACAGAGTGCATGGCGGCCGTGTGTGGCCCCCTCCGTGCCCCCTTTTGGCCGGCAGAGTGCTGCAGGGGGCTATCCAGACTGATAACAGAGTGCATGGGGGCCGTGTGTGGCCCCTCCATGCCCGTTTTGGCCGGCAGAGTGCTGCAGGAGGCAAACCATAATTAAATCACACTGACTGGTATTATGCATAACATGCTGAACCATGAAAAACAAATTGAAAAGTTAAAATTCCTGAAGCATTATGTGCTATACTGATACAGTCATTAGATTGGGTAAGCATTTATGCAAACTTTGCCTCAATATGATCTAGATCTACTAGATGGCTGGCTGGGGAATTCTGGGAATTGAAGTCCACAGGTCTTAAAGGTGCCAAGGTTGCACACCCCTGGATTTAGATTCTGGGAAGTAGAGGATGGGTGTGTGGAAGGAGATCACAGGTGGGCCATCTGCCGAGACTCCAATCCCTCCTTTCCTTCCACGATTGTCCAGGAATCACAGGCTACCTTCTCTCCTGAATGTACACAGGTAGTCCTCAACTTACAACCATTTGTTTAGCAATCATTTGAAGTTACAACGATGCTGAAAAAACTGACCTCTGATCTGATTGTTCCTTGTACTTACGACCGTCACAACATCCCAGCAGTCATGGAATCGCCATCTGGGCCTTTGGCAACGGGCTTGCACGTTAGGACAGTTGGGATGCCCCTTGGGATTTTCCCAGCAGACTTCCAACAAGCAAAGTCAGTGGAGAAGCCAGCAGAGAAGGCCACAAGTCAGGTCATGTGATGTCTTGCTTAATGACCACAGTGACTCACTTAATGACCCTGGCAGCAAAGGTTAAAAAAAATATATCAGGTGTGGTCATGTGTCCCAAAGGTGATTTTTTTCGAGAGGCAACTGGACTTTCTGCTTTTTTCTTTGGAAAAGTTTTGCTTCTCATCCAAGATCCTGAAGCTTCAGCTTCTTGGATGAGAAGTGAAATGTTTTCAAAGAAAAACCAGAAAGTCCAGGTGCCTCTCGAAAAAAAATCACCTTTGGGACAACCATGACCTGGATGACTGAGAATCTCCAAAGACTTGTGGTGTTTCAGTCAACATCAACATTCATTTGGCATGGCTTAAGGACAAATTTTCTTGTCCCAGTTGTGGCCATAAGTGAAAGATTACCTGTAGACACAATTTAAACTCTTCGATTGCAGCAATGTGCTCTAGATGGGCTGCTTTTGAAGAACGGCCAGAAGTAGATGCTGGTGCAGATCTGCATTAGTATTACCCTTACCTGTTCCACAGTCATTGCATAGGCCAAGGGTCTTCAGACTTGGCAAGTTTAAGACTTGTGGACTTCAACTCCCAGAATTACTGAGCTAACATGACTGGAGGAGGAATTCTGGGAGTTGAACTCCACAAGTCTTAAAGCTGTCAAGTTTGAAGACCCTTGGCATAGGCTTTTGACAGGCTAGGTGGTACAATTTAAAGCAGTGGTCGCCAACCAGTGGGCCGGGGACCACTGGTGGTCTGCAAGAAAATTTTGGTGGTCTACAGAGAAATGTCACCTCCATAGCACCCCCCAATCCAGGCTGCGCAGGAACACAAGGCTGCACCACCCTCATGGACTGTGGGAACACACGGCTTGCGTCGCTTGCATTGTGAACAACATAAGGTAGTGAGGGGAGGGGGGAAAGGGCAGAGGGGAAAACTTGCCCCACTCACCCCACATGCCTGGCCTGGCCAACAGACTGCCTCTTTCCACTTCTTTCTTCTGCTTTTGGCTGCACACAAGGAAAGCAGCAAAAGTTTTTCTTACTCTGCCCCAAACTCCGCCAGAAATTAGTCTTTGGGACTCTGCAAGGCATCCTGCTCCCAAGAGGCTGCACCAATGTGACAAGTCTCACAAAGACTCATTTCTGGTGGAGTTTGGGGGAAAGAAAGAAAGACTTCTGCTGCTTCTGCTGTTTTCCTTGCATGAAGCCAAAAGTCTCTCTCTCACTTTCTCTCCCTCCCCCTGAGAACGGAGCTGGAGACGGTATCCTGTGATCCCAAATAAGGAATGATCCATCGGTGGGAAAACGGGATGGGGAATTTTCCTGCAGACTTTTTTGGGGATTTTCCCAGGGTCTCTGGTCTGCGGGATTTAAAATTATGAGTTTGGTGGTCCTTGAGGTCCAAAAGATTGGCGACCTCTGATTTAAAGTACATATCAGTGGTGGTATTTGACCGGTTCAGCCCGGTTCTCTCCGCTGCTCTGCTGTTGGGCCCACCCACCTGCCTGGGCTTCCATACTCGCTTTTATCTGCTAAATTTGAAGCGCAGCTGCTTTGCGTGGCACAGAATAGTGCCACGTGGCAGCTGCTGAAGCGACCGGGATCATGCTGGATTGCAGGAGGCGAGATACAATGCCTCTGTGCCTGCACAAACTCCTCTATGCCTGCACTAAGTGCGCATTTGGCGCACACATGTATGCAAAGTATGTGCACGCGTGCAAAGCGCACCCACCAAGCCACGCCCACCGAACCAGTGGCAACAATATTTGAATCCCACCACGGGTACATATAGTCGTTGGCTTACAACAGTTCCTTTAGTGATTGTTCAAAGTTACAACAGTCCTGAAAAAAAGTGATGTATGGCTGTTTTTCACACTTATGACCACTGCAGCATCCCCATGGTCACATGATCAAAACTCAGCCGTTTGACCCACTGACTGATATTTATAATGGTTGCACTTTCCTAGGGTCACGTGTTCACCTTTTGTGACCTTCTGAGAAGCAAAGTCAAAGGGTAAGCTAGATTCACTTAACAACTGGGTTACTAACTTAACAACTGCAGTGATTCACTTAACAAATGTGGCCCCAAGGAAGACCATAAAATGGGACAAAGTTTACTTAGCAGATGTCTCACTTGGCAAGATAAATTTTGGGCTCAACTGTGGTCGTAAGTCAGGAGCTACCTGTAGTAATTTTAAATGGCCTACCTCTATGTCATAGAACCAGCCTACCTAGTGTGTTGGTCACAAGTTGAGAATTTGAGATTCTCCCCTTCTCAAAGTAATATGGAAGGGACAAAGAAAATTGAGAGTTTTTCATTTGATGCTCTGTCTCCATGGAACAATTTATCCCTGGAGAAGCAACTGGCACCTTCCTGTAGAAATTCAAAGCAGAGCTTTTCTGTAGAGCCCTTAGTAGAGTTAATTAATTTGTCATTTTTAATGATTGGATGTGATCAATCAATACAGATGGTGAGATGGCTTATGCAATTGGATTACCGATTTTCATTGTTTGAATGGATTTTGTTCAATTTGTGAACCCCCAGAAATCCAAGGAGGAGAATCAGCAGTATATCAATACTGTAAATAAGCTTCTAATTTGAACATTCATGAACACAAGCGCCAACCTGAAGCCACCCTACAATTCTTTTACAATCTCCAACTGGATCATGAATTTTGAAGTAGATAGTTCTTCAACATATAGATCTTCAGTGCTGGTACATGGAGGGGAGGAAGTGTTCCAAAATGTTCAAGATGGCGGTTTTGCCCAACTGATTAAAGTCCCGCCCCATTTTTGTATGTGACACACATAAAAAGAGTTGGTGCTTCTTCCATTGTAAAATTGCACATCATCTTGTCTTTTTGGAGACACATTCTGATTAGATCTTGGTTTGGTCTGTATGGGCACCCATTTTGAATACATGACTGTGAGGGTGGGGTGTAAAAAAAATACACACACATACACATAGTATATACTATATTTATATATATGTAGGTAGGTATGTGTATGTATATATGTATATATATATGTATGTATGTATATATACATACATATATATATGTATGTATACTGCACAAGTCAAAAAGAGGGCTGTGAAAATATCTACAGACCCCTCACATCCTGGACATAAATTGTTTCAACTTCTACCATCAAAATGATGCTGTAGGGCACTGCACACCAGAACAACTAGACACAAGGACAGTTTTTTCCTGAATGCCATCACTCTGCTAAACAACTAATTCCCACAGCACTGACAAATTATTTACTAGGACTGTATTAGTATTTTTCTTCTCATCCTTCCTAGTACATATCTCTTCCTGCTTCTGACTATAACCATGTTGCTTGTATCTTTACAATTTGTATTGTTTTATTTGTTTCCTAGTATGATTTGATTGCTTGTTAGTAACCTATGGCTATCACTAAGTGTTGTATCTTATGATTCTTGATGAATGTATTTTATTTTATTTTATTTATGTACACTGAGAGCATATGCACCAAAGACAAATTCCTTGTGTGTCCAATCACACTTGGCCAATAAAAAATTCTATTCCATTCTATTCTGTAACTTACTCCATTACTGTATCCCACATCCTCCAGTATGGAATGAGAGACCGCAGGCTTGACCTTCTTCTTGTGAAAACCCTCCAACTACCTGCCAAATGTTATTCTATTCTTCCTTGGTCATCTTTCCTCAAAGCTAAACACCTTCTCCCTGAATCGGTCCCCATAGGATTTAGACTTCTAGTCCCCTTCAACAGGAGAAAGAGAAGATGGAAGTTGAAGGTGCTATTATAGTCTCTCCCTTCAGAGTTGGCAACCTGGGATTATATTCTGCTTGCAAAGATTGGGGAGCACACCTTGTTTGGCATTCCTTCCTGCCATGGTGCAAGGATCACAGCACAGCTGGCTGAAATGTGGATGTTAAAGCTGAACTTGCCCTTTGTCCAACAGGAGCGTGTATGGCAAAGTGGACTCCAGAGAACGCGCTGAGCAGGCTACAGGCTGAACTGGAGAACGTAGAGGCCAAAGTGGAGGTGAGTCATGAGGAACAAGCTCGGCTGGCTGGCTTCTCCAGGGCTGCTCCCAGAAGTTTTTTTTATATATATATAAAAGGAATAAACTCTTTCTCTGAATCTTCTTCCCACATAGAGATGGGAACAAAGCAGGCCACCTTTCTCCATGCCATACCATCAAAGGTCAGCTTCCCAAACTTGTTCCAAACTGTGGCGGACAAGGAAGGGAAACAAGAGCGTTTTCCTTTGCTTGAGAAGGGGGCCTTTTGGTTACATGAACGTTGGGCTTCAAGGAGGTGCATTGATATGGGTTTTCCAAGCTGCATCTCCCAGGTATCGGCTTGTGGCCAGTATGGAGCTTCGAAGAGCCTTTTATCTGTCCCAAACGATCTATCTGGCTATTGTTGTAGACACACAACACAATGACCTGGGCCAATGAAAGACCTAGCAACTGCATTCCCACAACATACCAAACTTGTCTAGGGTTACAATTTTTTGTTTTTATCTCTTAGCTGAGTACTTGAGCTGTTTGGTTAGTTATGGTTCAATGTATTGTGCAATTTTTTTAAAAAAAAATGGGTTAAGTAACCAGGTTCAGTGTGTTGTGCGAAGCCTGCCTTTATGTTATTACTATTATCGTATCAACAACAAATATCAAGTTAAACATGTTGGACTGTTTCAGTGGTACTCAAGCTATGGAACGTCGTCCCCTCCTTGGGAGAGAGAGCAAGACACTTGGAGTGGAGGTGAGGCATGATGTTGTAGGGACGTATAGGTCCCTACAGCATTTGTATATTTAAAAAGCCTCCTTCGCATCAAGCTCAAATCTGGTGACACCATGGACACATCTAGGCTCGCTATTGCCTGCTTCTAGGATTCCCCCCCACCGCCCCCAACTTTTCTGTCTAGTTCTGGCATTCCAGGAGATCTCTCATCCAAGTGTTAACAAAGGCTGATAGCAATAGCACTTAGACACTGCTTTATAGTGCTTTTACAGACCTCCCTAAGCAGTTTACAGAGTCAGCCTATTGCCCCCAACAATTTGGGTCCTCATTTTACCCACCTCAGAAGGCTGGGAGGCTGAGTCAACCTTGTGCCTGGTGGGATTTGAGCTGCCAAATTGTAGGCAGCTGGCTGCAGAAGTAGCTTGTAGTACTGCACTCTAATCACTGCGCCACAGAGACCACTGATGCCTGGGGTTGGACTAGAAGACCTCTGAAGTCCCTTTCTCTATTATTCTATGTTCTACTCTATGTTCTGTGTTCTAACTTAACTTTCCAGATCAGTCAAAGTTAGCTGAGTGCTGCCATCTGCTGATAGCCAGAATTTTTGAGTCTCTCCTGGTAGGAGAGCTTGTAGCACAGCTTTAGTACTGCGGCCATCCCAGCTGCCCTTCTTATAATGAGCTTGCAATGAGGCAAAGAACTTCGTACAAGTACTCCTCTACTTGTGGCCGTTCATTTAGCAACCATTTAAATTTATAAAGGTATTGAGAAAGGTGACTTATGAGTAAACTTTGCCCTTACGAATGTCCCAGTGTCCATGCGGTCATACAATCGCAATACAGGTGCTTGGCAATCAGCTCGCACTTGTGACAATTGCAGCATTCTGCAGTTACACAATCGCCTTTTGTGTCCTTCCCAGATCGGCTTCTGGCAAGCAAAGGCATTGGAGAAGCCAGCAGGGAAGGTCGCACGTCGCAGCCACATGACGTCCCACTCAATGACTGGGAGTGATTTGCTTAATGACCGTGGCAAAAAAAAAAAGTTTATAAAATTGGATGCAGTCACCTGGTGCCTCACTTAACAAACGCACCGCTTAACAATGAATGTTCTGGTTTTTATTGTGGTCGTAGGTCAAGGACTACCTGTAGAGCTTTTGACTGGAACAGCTTATTTTCTATTAAGAGATGACTGAAAAGCTTTTTCTAAATGCCGTTGTTGGATTAGCAATCTAACCTGGCTGTTAAATATCTGTGTGTTTATGTACCCACATGTGTTCATAGGGGATTTTGCATCTTTGCCTGCAAAAGAATATGGCCAAGGGGCTAAGGAACCAGAGGGAACCCAGATGCCAATTATGCTTGTTAAGTTTTGTGCTGATTTGAATGGCTTGGGGAAAAAAAAAACTGCTTTCCATTCTTAAATGAGATAGGCAGTGTGGGGCTTTCTCAATGTTTTGGACTCCAGCTCCCATCAGCACCCATTGGCATAGCAATGTTACGGGAATTGTAGTTCAGAACAACTGAAAGAAATTGGATTATCTGTCAATTGTTTGTAATCTTGCCCCAGGTCTCCCCCTCCATGTATTCCTTTGGCAAATTGTGTATGTAACCTTGGAGTCTGCAGCTTCCCTGAATCACCTTTTGAGCCAATACATTTAGCAGTTCCCTATAAGATTGTGCCAGGAGCTGCATTCACACAGTGCAATTAATTTGATTTTTAAATTAACCCATGTTTGGGATTTGCACAAAACATTAAACTAGGATAGCATTGTAGAGGGCTTTGAAGACCTGGCTCTTCTAGAGTTTGGCCTAGAGCAGAGATGGGGAACAATGGTCCCTTTATGACTTGTGGGCTTCAACTCCCATGGAGGGGGCCATGGCTGGCTCAGGAATTGGGAGTTGGAGTCACCAAGTCATAATAAAAGGGCATTATTCCCCCCAAACTTCACTAGGGTGATTGGACTCCTTGTGAGTTTGATATTGGCCAGATTTACCATCTTCTTTATTTGTTTTCACTGGTTTGTTTTTGACTGGCATTATGTTTTATTCTTTTTATTACATTGTGAACTCTCCGAGTCACTTGAAGTTAGGAATGACCTACATTAATTAAATAAATCAAATTAATTTAAACAATGAATTAACCAAACAAGCTGGATTCACACAGCAACCTAAAAACTAAGGTCAGTGACTAAACTTAGTATGTTGTATAAATACATGTACTAGGTTTTCTGTGGGGGCTTTCTAGATTTATACCCCATCTGCCAGCCTTCTCAGGTAGACCAGAGAAGAATCACAACCAAAGGAGCTAATTCTACTTTATTGTAAGGTTATATCAACTTGCAAGAATCTTGCAAGTCTGAAAGTACAAATCTCTTTATCGTTTCTTTTTCCAAACTGATAAGTTAGGGAGGTTCCTTTTTGAGTTTCTTTCTTTACCTGTTATGCAGCTATAGGCTCTTTCACCCCTTATCTAATTGTTTCCTAAGCAGCATATCTTTCCTTCCATCCATCTCCAAGACTCCATTCTCACATACTGTCACATCACCTGTCCTCCACAGGCTTATAGTGGCCTTCTCCAGTTTCTTCTACAATGAAAACTTTATGAGTGATGGAAGTGACTGACCCAAAGTTATCCACGAAGCTTTCGTGGCTATGGATGGATCTGAACCTGAATCTTCTCAGTCTTCATCCAACTCTCTTAATCAGGGGTGTCAAACTCAAGGCCTGTGGGCCAGACCTGGTCCACGGGGTGCTTAGATCTAGCCCTCGGGGCCGCCCTGGAAACAGCGAAGGACTGGTCCACTGTGCCTCTGACAGCAAAAAAGGCTCCCTATCTCCATTTTTGGCTGGGACAGCCTGCTGCAACCCTCTGCCAATGAAAACAGAGCTCAGGAGGGCCGCACGAGCTCCTTTTTCACTGGCAGAGGGTTGCAGGAGGCCGTCCCAGCCAAAAATAGAGATAGGGAGCCCATCTTCATTGGCCTTGCCCCCTGGCCACGCCTCCCCAGTCAAACACAACCCTGATGCACCCCTCAATGAAATCCAGTTTGACACCCCTGGTCTTAGTCATTAATCAACACTTTTAACATTGTAATACATTTTCAGCAAAACTGAGCCAACAAGAGATTTAGAAAGCTCCCCAAAATAGCAGAAATAAGTTTGGAATTTCTTTCTATAATCACAGCAAGTACAAAAGGAACAGGAAATGGCCTGTATACAAACTGAGGAAAAAAAAGTCAATTTCAGGTGTCTTTGAAGCGTCTGATGGGATGTAAGGAAAATGCTATAGGAAAGAACACAATCCCTGCCTTGTTGTTCCTACGCTCATTTCTGCCTTTAAATTCACTGTATCACCCCTAGGGTTACAGAGGGCTTTAGTTAGAGCCCATTTGGAATACTGTGTCCAGTTCTGGTGACCTCACTTAAAAAAAGATACTGATAAGATTGAGCGAGTCTAGAGATGGGCAAGAAAAAGTGCAAGGCCTGAGGGACAAAACATAGCAGAAGAGAGTGGAGGAACTGAATATGTACAGCCTGGAGGACAGAAGGGAAAGTGGGAGGAAGAGAACATGATAGAAAGTATTACTTCACAAAACGAGGAGTGGAAGCTTGGAACTAACTCCCAGCGGAGTAGTGGGTCAGTCATCAGCAACCAAATGTAAACATGGTTGGGGTAAATATATGTCCATCATCTGACAAAAATTAAAATAGATAAATAAATAAGTATAATAAAAAACTCAAAGGCCAGACTGTCAGGGTTCCGGCAGTTACTCCAATTAAATCATGAGTCTCGAATCACACTCCCAAAACTAAAGAAGATTTATTTGAAGGTAACATTCTAACCTGGGCGTAGCCAACTCTGAGATATGTAATTCACTGTCACCCTTGGTCCTGCTTTCCCCACCCCTATCCCTCTGGGTGTATCATCCAACGAAAAAACGTCCATAGCCAAGAGTCATCAATCATACTCTCCAATTAGATTTTTTCCCGGGCAGAAACTTCAGCCATTTAATCAGTCTCTGAAGAAAATATGAATGGGATGTACTTTCGATTTCACACTGTTGCCTGCTCTTTGAAACTCCCCCCCACTTTCTTTCTGTTGTCAACTATTAAACACGTATACAAAATGTTTTATGAGTTGACACAGACTTGATAGACCACTAGATCTTTTTCTGTTGTCAGTTTTCTATGTTTCTATGCTAAGTAAAGATTAAACTCCCACTTTTGTAAATGGAAATGGGGACGAGCACCATATCGGTCTGTGGCTCAGCACAAAAACCCACAGGGAAGAGATGATGGTTGGAATTTGCTTGGAACACCAACTATCCAAAATGGCCGCTTCATCCTCCTTTCTTTGTCCACAGGAACAGATGGAGCAGTTCCTATGTTGGGATCTCCCCATTGAGAGCTTTGTGGAGTCTTTCCAGCACAGCCGCATGCTCTCCCATCTTCGTCGCACTCAGCTGGAGAAGTTGCAGGAGATCCTGAAGGTGGAGAAGGCAAAAACTCCTGAAAAGCCAAGCCCGAGTTGTGAAGAGGAACAGCCCGCAGTCTCCCCAGCACTTCCAACTCCTCCTCCACCTTCGGCTCAAGCGGCCCCGGCTCAGAATAATGGGCCACCTCCTAAGGTCTTCCAGCTCCGCTTGGCACCGGCGTTCTTGATCCCCTCAGAGGCTGTGCTGCCCATCCCCATGACGGCAGCCCCTCAGAAGTGCTGCCTGCCCACTCTGGCCACCTCGCACTCCACCACTAACTTTGTGAGCTCTCCCTTGAGTCTGATTGGGCACATCCATTTGCCCCAGGCACACCTGCCTCACCAGCAGAAGAAGAAAGAGCCACCGCATCGGTAGCTGCCACAGCACCAACGGGACATTTTGACCAGAGCCTCTGACACCAGCTATGATGGGCCAGAGTCTGAGGTGTGATGCCAGCCTGCCAAGAACTCCACCTTCCCAGACTTGGTGGGAGTTAGGGGTGGGCGTATGGCAGAGAGCTGGCTCCCTTTTCTCTCTGGCTGCCAAAATAATTTAGATTCCATCTCCACTCCTCCCCCTCACCATCCCCCACCTCCCCAGGCAGTTTGGCTGGCTGGGTTGATCCAGTGTTACTATATGTATAGGTGGCCAAGACCGCAGGGAAGTTGTGCCCTGCCTCCCCCTTTCCCACTTGAGAAATAAGGAAAGTTATGTCGCTTCTTCCCCCCTTCTTTTTCGGGAGCCTGAATTCACCATCATGCACTCATTACGTCTATCTCTCGAGTCAGGTGGGGGAAAACCTCTTGCAAACTGCTTGTTGCTTTTCTGGATGCTGGGTGTGATCAATTTCAGGCAGGGCTATCTCTAACCCCCTCCAGGCAGTCGGCCGGCTGATCTTCTCTGTCGCACAAGGGACTCCATTTCAGTAGCAAGTAGGAAGAGAACATACATGGCAGGGGGTGGGGGTGGGGGTAGGGAAAAAGCACAGCACATTTCCAGGGGTGGAGGAAGAAGGGGTAGGCCAACTGCTTGGAGGGGGCAGTTTTTGGAGCTAAATTGCCCCCCTTCCTATTCATTTTTTTTCTATTGGGACAGGGGCGGGGTCTGAAGATGAAGTGGGGAGGGGGTCTATTGATGTGATGGGGGGGGTTGAGGTTGCAAAGCACAGGGTAGAACATTTTAGCCCAAAGTTTATGCCACGGCTAGAGAATGGGTTAGTACCAGCATAGGCACACGGTCTCAACAGGGTATGCGTAAACGGGAGAGACGAGGCAGCCCCACAATGCTCTATGGGGAAACATGCCTTTTGGGTTGGGTGGGGGTGGGAGCAAGGAAATACTTTCAAGCAAACTTTTTTTCTTGATTCGATGTGCTTGCTAAAAACAAAACAAAAACCTAAAGGATGAAATTATGGGGACAGCAGGGAGGGAGATTTGAACTGGAAAAAAAATAAAATAAATAAGGTTCTCCTAATATTAATCCCTTCCCCCTCAAGCAATTATAGGTGTGATTGGACTTAGAGAGTACAATGCAGGTGCCATGCCAAGATCCCGTTGAAAGTAAAGGCAGAATGAACGGAACGTGGCAAGAAGTACCATTTGCTACATATCCGGTCCACAGCAAAGCTCTCCTTGATTAGAATGTAAAACGGATCACTTTTTATATTCGCCTCTGTGGAGGCTGCCCACAGTATCTCTGAGTGAGTCGCTGCTTTGGTTTTTCCTCTCTGCAGTAGCCTTCCAAGGTGGTGGATAATACAGTATTCTCATTATTTCCCTGCTCAGGGATATAAGGGTGCATTTGGCTATTCCCACCGGACAGCCCTGGCTCTCTAACTTCCTCAGAGCCAGCCAGAAAATAAATTACCCTCTTCAACCTGAGGTCAAGGTTGTTTATAACACTTTTCTACAAAACTGAATTCAAAAAAAAAAAAAAAATCAAAATTCCCAAGCCTTGAAATGTCACTTTCAAATATCAAAAGTTCTTCGCTTTTCGATTTTATTTCAGCTCCAGCAAGGCTGAGTTTGTGAAGACCCATAGTAGGACACCCGTTTAGAGAAGGGGAGCTGAACTAGCATGGGGTTGTGGCAGCCGACTCTGCCATTCCCATTAGAGCAGGGTTTCCCAACCTTGACAACTTTAAGACATGCGGACTTCAACTCCCAGAATTCCCCAGCCAGCCATGGTGGAATGTCCGCCATGTCTTAAAGGCGCCACGGATGGGAAACTCTCCAGTAGAGAAAGGGACTTTGGGGGGCTTGTGACTAGAAAGTGGGAAAGGTGTGACTGTGAGCCAGAAGCAGCAGACAGATTGCCCAGGCTCACCAAGTGAGGAATGGCTACTTCATGCCTCAGTGAGTAAAGACGTCCTGCAACTGAACCCACCACAGCTGGATTTTTTTGAGGGGGTGGAAATTGTACCAGGAAGGACCCATTGGGCATCTTTTCAAATCCAGGCTTGCAAAACCAAGCCCCTAATCTTGGTACTAGATTAGAAGGCAGGAATCTCGGTTGCAGTGGAGGAAGCGCTATTAGAAAAGCTTCTGCAATCATTTCTAGTTGTGGGATATCAGTGTTCAGACTTGGTTTTTCTTAATTAAAAAAAACACAGCGAAGGAGGTGAAATCTAGATAAGTATCTTATTTTTCCTGCCACCAAATAACACGGCATTTCCCAACTCACAAAGGGACTGCTGCAGTCATCATGGGAACTTAATAGCAGTCTTTATAGGAACTGGAGCACAGGGTAGATGGTGGAGTTAAAGGAGGACAAAGAGGGTTATCACAATGAAGGAAAGAATAATCTCTGTTCCTGGTTAAGAGATTCTGCCAGCATTCATTCAGGGTCTTCCAGAAGAGAAACCCTATCCTATCCTCACCCCGATTAGTCCTGGAGGGCCGTCTCTGATTTCTCTCCCAAGCTAGAATGTAAACGATCCCCAGTTCAGCTCCAGTCTTTTGTATTTTCTCCATTAGATTCGCTAGCCAGTCAGTACAATAAAATATTGTCTTTGGGCAAGGACCCGCTACAAAACCCAGAGACAGCAGGGTGAACAAAGAGGCAAAGAGCACAGGGTGGGTGGGTTGGTATTTGTGGCAATGCAATGTAATGCAATCCATTCACGAGAATTCCCCCACACCTTCCCGTCTCTTCAGAGGTAAAATTGCTGGACAGCTAAAATAAAACATTGCACCAACTTGGTCTGAGATTTCAAACTCCAAAATTCAGTTGGAAAGGAACTCAATTTCCAAACTCTGGGCTTAATATTAAAAAAGTGTCTTTTGCCAGAAAACGTGAGCCAAAGTTTTGTTTGAAGTATTCGTTGGCCAAGTTTAACATTTCACAGGCAGGTTTTTTTCTGTGTATCCTTTAAGTCCAGCACCATCTATAATTCATGTGGATAGGGTCACACTCAAGGCCCAATGTATCTAGTCTAGCATTTTCTTTGTTAACAGTTGCAGCCAATCAGAAGGCTTGGGAAAGCCTATATGAATGGAGCATCTTTCAGGAGTTTGCTCCCAGCAACTATTTCTTAAAGGTATACTGCCTCTGAAATGAGAAGATCTGCTTTATGCTCTCATGTCTTACAGCCAATGTTAGACGCCTCATTCATGAATTTGCTTCCATTGTTTAATTACAAAAAAACGAAAGAAAGAATAGAGGAAGAGGGCATTACATTAGGAGAATATTTGTGCCAGCGTTTACAAGGATGTTTGAGTTATCGACATTTGCTTGAAAATTTCCACTCAAATCTATTTCAGCTCCCAAGAAAAAGGGAACAAGAGAAGGCCATTTCTCAAGTATATGTTCATTCATTTAAATGCATGCAAATTTAAAGTCACTAGTTTTCTAGCATTGATGCTGAATTGTTTTTATTTTTGATGGCTAGGTTCAAAAACAAAATAGCCTGCTGTGATAACCTGGTTTGGCCCTTGCAGGTGCCCAGATCCTGGTTTTCTTCGGTGGGAAGCAGGAGTGGGTTCTCATTGACCAAAAGAGCAAACCGGTCCTACCATCGAAAACAATCCTCAGTATCTCAAACAAGCCTAGAGACCACAACAAGCTCTTGGAATGTAAATCTGCTCCTTCAATTCTACCACAAGATGGAAGGGACAGGAGGGGAGGAGGGGCCATTTCCAGTCTCCTCTACCTCTTGGACTTCACTGGATCCCCTCCCTCAATGACGTAATGCACAAGCCGGAACTGGTTCTTCTTCTTTTCTTTTCTTTTTTCCTTTGGGGACTTTGCTGCAAAACTTTATACATGTGTGAAAGGGGTGGTGGTGGTGTCATCCGATTCTGGCAGTGCCCCCAGCAGCTTCAAGGTAGACCTCATGCTGTCTTCGTGAACGTTTTTTTCCATGTAATGTTTTTTGGAAACATAAGTGTGGAAACATAAATGTTAAATATATATATATATATATATATTCTTTGGAATAAATTTAAATACTACATTTCTGTATGCAGCGTTTTCAAAGCTTATTATTCTATATATGGGAAAGGCACCTGGGAGGGCACGGTTTTTGCAGAATATCTGTTGATTTTATCTTTTATGTTGGGGTTTCCTCAGCAGGAATTTCCAAGACTGGCTTCCTATACTTGCTGTGGGGGAATATGAAGATAGGCCCAACATAATCATATTAGGGTTTAAGATTATGTTGGTTCCCATAACATGCTGAATGACTAACCACTTGATGCCATTGTACTAGTGTCTTCTAGCGTTTTATGCCAATTCAGAAAGTTACTATGTTTAACAGTTACGGTTGCACATTCAGATCGTCACATATTCATTCTGGAAATATGCATGCCAGTCTGAGGACAGCCTTTGCCAGCTTTGTTTGAAAGCATAACATGACTTGGTTTTCCAAGTCTAGACACCGTGTATCCGAGTCGCAAAAACTTCCCTCAGAAAAATGAATTATTCCTTATCTAGCAGCCCAGATATGTATTCATAAAGCTGAAGTTAAGGGCTGTTGGATAAGTGTCAATTCATTCCCTAAAGCAGTGTCTCTTAATCTTGGCACGTTTACAATGTGTGACGTCAACTCCCAGGAGTCCCCAGTTAGTCATTCTCACCGAGGAACTCTGGGAGTTGAAGTCCACAAGTTGCCAAGGTTGGAGACCCCTGCTCCAGGGAAAAAGAACCGCCCACTTAAGAACAGTAGCAGTGCCCTCTGCTGATCATATGAAAATCCAGTGGAGAGTTCCGCAGGTTCTGGGTAGGAGGCTACAGGGGGAGGTTTCATTCCAAGGGATTAAGACCAACAGAACAGAAGATTTGGCCAGAGCACCAGGTCAGCTGAATGGGAAAAGTAGGAGGAGAAGATGGGAATGGACCCTGATTGAATAAAAAATATAGTTTGTGCCCCAAAGCAC